GCTCTCTTCCGCATCCCCCTCCCCCCTCCCCCTTTGGTTCCTTTGCAGCCAGCCAGAGGAAGACATGGGGGGGCGGGGCGGGGGCTTTGCACTGACTTGAGCTGCGGCTGGCGCCCGGGTCTTAAGCTCTGGCGTTCCCCTGAAATCCGCGCACCTTCCCTTCCCAAGGCCGGGAGGCTTTCGTTGCGCCCTTCGCCAATGTCGCGCCCCGCGTCCCAATGCGGAATTCCTTCGAACCGCAGAGGTGAACCAGAAGGACCTTTCTGCGGCGAGAGGCGCGATCTTCCAAAGGTGCCTCCGCCAGCAGCTTCTTCGGGACGGGAAGAACCGGCTTTCCAGTCTCTCGTCAGGACCATCCGCGGTGTATCGGATGGGTTGTCTGCGGAAGCCCTTCCTGCGGAGTTCCCTTCCTTTCCCTGCCAAGTGATGCGTAATCAGGGCTGAATCCACACGCACCATTAGACGTGGCCTTACTGTCGCACTGGAGCAATCAGCCGCCAGTGGATCGCTTTATCCCCACGGGGTAATCCAGTGGCGATAACTGCGCAGTGCTGGAGCCGCCTAGGATGGCCGCCCTGAGAGGACTTGGGTGGTTCCCAGCACGTCAAGGAGAATCTGGCAATGCAAAGGCCTCTAGGAGCCCTTTCCCTGGAGGAACCGTCAAGTAAAACAACCACTTGGCAAAACAACCACAACCCGGACTCCATCTCTCGGGCCTCTTAATTTTATGCATGCATGCCCCCCCCACCCCCACCCCTTTGTCTGGCGGCTGTTTGTATCTGATGCATTACAGGCCTCTACATTTAACTAGAGGTTAATTAGAGTTGAGTCCAGTACTAACCGGGTTAGTGGCCTAATGGTCAGGGCACGGTTTTGGGTGGCATATTAAAGGCGTTCACCCTAAGACCATTTCTATTTACTTCAACAGGTCTACTGTAGAGTAAATATCTCAAATTCAGTAGGTTAGCCCGATGATAGAAGAGCCAGAGGCCCCACCCAGCTCTCTCGACTCCTGACTCCAGACGAATCTCCTGTATGGAAAGGAAATGGCGCTGATTGTAACGAAACTGGGCTCAGAGAGAAGCTGCAAGATGACTTATTATGGATTAGCTGGTCCTTGATGCACATCCAGGGAGGCTACGGGGGTACAGCTGCTGTTTGGAGGCAGCCCTACACATTTACCTGGAAGCAAATCCCGTGGACCACAGCGGGACTTCCGTCTCACGGCCTGCCGAGATTTGTAGGCAAGGGCTGCGCGCATTCGAATTAACTTTAGTGCTTGTTCTTTTGAATTAATGCGAAAGGCTGGGGCGGGGGCGGGGGTGGACACAAACCGGTAGGAAAGAGTTCTGGGGGTGCTCAGGCCGGCCCAGCTACAGTCTCCTGCGGCCCTTCCTCCGCGGGCAGCGCCGTTTCTTCTCCTGGGGCATGATGACTCCGCCCGGGCAGTTACTCCGCAAGGGATGGAGTCCGTGAGGAGGCTGCAGGAACCGCGGCCTGCTGCTCACCTTCGGCCCAGGCCGGGCAGGGGAAGTTCCGGAGGTTTGGACAGCGCCCGCAGGCCAGAGTGCGGGAGGGCACCCAGAAGGGCCCCGCTGGGGCCAGGCCAAGGCAGACGGGCGCAGCGGCTTCAGAGCGAGCCTTTTCTCGTCCCGAGAGGCTCCCCTGGCTCGGCCTGCCGGAGAGCACCGGGGCCCCGGGCCTAGGCAGAGCTGCAGGGGAAGTCAAGGCGCATTCAAGGCGCTCAGTCCCGGGGGGGGGGAGGCCGCGCCCCCCGCCCCCCCGCTCCTCCAGCAAAGCCGGACCGAAGGAGCGCGGCGCTGCCGGTGCCCTCCCGGCCAGGCCCCTCCCGCGCCGGCGCTGGCTTAGCGCCGCCGCCGAGCCCAGCCGCTCCGAGCCCCGCAGGCCAAGGCGCGAGACAGGCGTCGGTCGGCAGGAGCCCCGGCTAGGGACCAGCAGCGGCAGCAGCAGCTC